TTCTTTTCTGTCATGTCTTATAAATGTCTCATTTAATTATGTGTAGGAAAACATTTTTTGTTTATTCTCAGTAATTATGGCACATTAACTTATCGTCATGAAATATAAGAATGTATTTTCTTAATTCAACATATTGTCTAAAATATTTTGCCCTTTCTGTTAAAGGGGAACGCCAGTTTTTTTTACATTGGGCCCTTGATTTTAAGTTATTACATCATGTTCTACTCACCCATATAAGTTTTGTGTCATTTGGAGCCATTGTCATACTTCGTTTTAAAAGATAAAAATATAAAAAATATAACCGCAGATGTCTGGGGGACAGTGATTCGCCTACTGTATGCTGGCGTACCATAAAGAATAAATTATGAACAGTTTAGTTTGTGCTTTCAAGTCGTTGCCCATAGGAAGACGTTACCTGGATATAACCTAACGGAATATCTTCAGAACAGCTCCAAATGACACAAAACTCATATGGGTGAGTAGAACATGATGTAATAAAGTAAAATCAAGGGCCAAATGTAAAAAAAATGGTGTTCCCCTTTAAGGAACAAATAAGGTTGATACCAAGACAAAATTCAGGCTTTTATGAAAATGGGTGCCTATCAATTAATTAATACATTTTCAATCTATAATCAATCAAATTTAGATAAATTCATTAATCAAAAAATTGCAATTCTAGCAGAAATACTTTTTCAAGGTGCTGCAAATAAATACCTAACAGTAGCTTTCAGATTTCTCCGGCTATGATGCCTGTTTTTTTTACTGTGGAGAACCTGAAAAGAACACTATGCTCCTGGAGGTCCACCAGCTGTTCTCTGTATTGATGTATAAACATTTTCTAATCTCAAGCCCGGCGCTTGGAGGGGCCTTAGCCATGTGGACAGGACTTCAAGTCACAGTCGCCTTTTTAAACAGAGCAGGTTTATTTCTGCTAATACGTGTTTTACTTTGGATGCAATGAGCCAAGCAGAGGTTTTTATTGCCTCTAAAGTCTTCCTGGTTTGTTTAGGGATTACTCTAAACCATTTGGTGAAATGATGTGTGATCCCAGCATTTAGACATTGAGACTTTTCATGCCGGTTTCAACCAGGAGGCAGAGTCTCTATCACATCCTTTTACCTCGAGCGAATACTTCCCTTCATCCTGTCAAATATTCATGAGAAATATCTCATAATAATCAGATCTCATACAGAACTTTCATTAAAAAAAAAAAAAATATTACCCATGAAGGCATTTCGCAACAGGGATCATTAATTATTAGATTAAAACCAAAGAAAAAACCATCAAGCCTGGTACCAGAACCGATCCAGTCCCAGCCACTATGGCAGTGTGACCTTCAAGCCCGGCTGTTGTTATTTTCCACAGAGGTCAGCAGCTAAGAATGTGAAGCATGCAAAGCCTGAAACACACTGTTCTTGTCCCAACAACCAACAACCACCATCTTAGAAGTTTTTCAATAACTCATTTGATGCTGCTGATAAATTTTGCTGATCCTAAACAACACGTTGACTTTTAATCTAAAACAAATGAACAGATTTGCAAATTAGAGAAATGTGAGAACTATTATATCAGTGTTCCTAAGAGGAGTGCCTACAGGAGAAACCCTGAGAACAAAAATCAAATAGAAAAAGCTATTTTTATCAGTTTTCCTGCAGGATATCCTGGGACAGCTTGTACTTTTAAAAGGCAATAAATGCAGACAGAGAAGAATAAGTTAAGCTGCTCTGCGCGTCCGTTAACGTTAAGGTCTCGGTTAACCTCATCCTCATCAACACAAGCGCATGTTCTGTTTTAAGAAATAAGCTGTCTAATGCTACGAACCGTGACAATCATGGGAATCTAATTTTAAACACTTCAGAGCAGAAGTTGTTAAACATAGAAATGTCATCTTAGTGCTGTTTTTTAAAGAGAAGAACTATCTGAACATTTTTTAACAAATTTCTTACTGCACAAGCACTGAAATAAAACATGGCATCTGATAAGTCATCCGCAAGTCCTTTTTTAAAATAAAATAATATCTATAATCTATTCAGTTTCCACAGAGGAAAGTGCATCAAAATTAGATCAGAGCGATCCACGTGGACATCATAAATTCTTTACGGCCCTTTTTTGTAGCTGAATGAATGAAGCTCGTAATTTCATGATTTCTGTTACATAAACACACTGCTGTGTTTTTACAACATTACTCCAAGTTATTTCAAGTTACACAATAAACATGACCTACTGGCCCCTCGCTATAATATATTTTGCTGGCCCCAGAAATGATTGCAATAAACAATAATAAATCTCTGTTATTCCTCATCTTCAGTCAAGAGTCTCTCATCTCCCTTTTATTAAACGGGAGATGAGTTAGTGGAGATAAATACACTGGAGTGAAACCCTTTGTCATCCAGTCTCTATAGTAGAGAGATTGGAGAGACAAAAAAACTGACCACTTTTGCTTAGAAGGAATCTCTTTAGTGTTGATAATATTACTGCCGTCCTCCAGACGGCACTGCTGTTCCTTCTTAAGCAGAGCTTCACAGGTATTTTCAGTAGAAGCAATGCCAGAGTTGATGCATGCTGGAGCAAAATCATAAACAGATCCAGGGTCGGATCCGGGATTACTTCCACGATTTAATGGCAACAAGGATCCAGAATTAATTAACTTTATTTGGTTCTGATTGTAAATATAAACACTGGATAAACTCCTTCAGCTCTCGCCCTACATAGCGCCTATTTAGCCGAGCTGCATGGAGGAGCAGCACTGACTTCTCTGTTTTGCTCAAAAGGTGAGGATGTGATGATAGCAAAGTCGAGGGCGTTACACAAAACGTTTATAATATAATAGAAAAAGACATGCTAGCAGTTAGCATGGAAGATGGGGACGGTTTTTTTGAGTTAATACACAAAGCCAAGTTTGAATATTTCTCTGAGAGCAACCAGAACCAGCGGTTTAAAAGATCTGCTACAAGAACAAAGTCCCTCCAAGCACTGATTGATGGATTACACCAAAAACAGAGAACTGTATCACAGTTAGCATCCACCTCATAGAAAAAAAAGGCCTTCAATGACTTTATAAAGTCCTTTACAGAGAAAATACATAGTATTAGAAAAACAGTGTGTACATCAACACCACTACCAATGATGTCACCAGTTAGAAATAAAAGTTAAAATATCTAAATTCTGCCAAATAAAACTGCAGAAGTTTAGAATAAATAGTTGAGCAGCTAAGCTCCTCTTCCTGCTGTCTAGATGTTTTAACCACAGGTTTTATTAGGAAGGTTTAAATTGTTTCAGAGTCTAATTTGATTCAAATCATCAAACACAGGGATTTTTAGATAGCTTAAATCCCTAATGCCAACAAAAATTATTAAAATCATTTTAATTTATCATGTGATCGACTATTTTTTGTGACAGGCATTTTAATTAATCAATCAAACATCAGTCTCCAAGTTAAAAACTATACAAAAAAAAGCAAATACTTTTTTGTTACATTTGATGAAGACACTATAACTCTGCAGCCAATCACTGTGAGCTGATGACAGCATGTGATCAGTATAATAAAACACATCTGGATGTATGAACATTTATTAAATTTAAACTAACTAAGATTCATTCTTTTAAAAAGCAGCTTCTGGGAACATATTTGATCATTTCCAAACTCTGAATGACTTAAACTGGCGTCACATAATCCAAGTCTCCACTGTCTGAAACGATGTGCCTTTTTAGACTCTCAGGGGATGAATTAATGTTCTTGGTGGGCCGGACGCAGCCCATGGGCTTTAGATTTGACATATGTGAAGCAGAGTGTTTGTGTAGATGTGATTAATGTGTCTTTTTGTAATCAAAAATTAAGTTTTTTAAATGTAAATCATTTTTGAAAATATTTATCAGGGATGAAAAATCAGCTTCATCCAGTTTTTAAACATTTAGGCTTTTAACCAAACGAGCGTCTGACATTTTCCTTTTTTCTTCTTAATTTTTTAACAAGCAGGACATGGCATGTTGAACAGTTTTTAATCTCATGTTTGCTCTTTTCATCAAAGCTGTAAAAACATTTCAACATTAATGGTTTAACAAATAATAAAACAAGTCACACCGTATTTACTTACTACCAACATGCAAACTTTGGCCATATCTAACAAAGCTCTAGGTAGTGTTTGGTAAACAATATTTGACATATGAGGAAATAATTAAACCAAAACACTCCAAATATATCAGCTTGACAAAATGCAAACAAAAGTCCATCATGTCCGTTGGCTCCTGGTCATTTTACCAACCGCCACACCTGCCTGCGGTTATTCATTACCTCCCTGGGTGCATATAAAGACCCGCTTCTCTGGACTTTCTTTGTGGGATTCTGGTGTGCCTCTCATCATCTGCCGCCGCGCTCTGCCTTGTGTTTTAGATTAGTTCCTTCGAAATCACGGACATCTACCACACCAGGGCTTTGGTTTCACTAAATGCTGTAATTTATCTTCATCATCCATCTGCTGCTGGAGCTCAGCCTGAGTTTAAGTCACCACATTCAGGGCTACATAGCAACAAGTTGTTGCAATCAACAGAGTACATAATCTGGTTTATGTAATATATATATATTTTTTTTATTAGTTTTAGGTAGATTTTTTTTATTAGTTCAGCTCCTAAACTCCCTGATCGGGTGTCTGACCTACACTGAAGACGACATGTCGTCTTGTTGTTTCCTGTGTGTGGCAATACGTGTGTGTGTGCCAGTAAGTGTGTTTATTTCTGGACATACGAGATGTCTGAACAAATTGTCACAGCGCAACAAGACATACCCGAGAGAAACAGAGCAGCTGAGTCTACTCCAGAGCAGGCAGCACCTTGTGAAAACACAACACGCATGCATGCATGTGCACAACTGACACATGAAGAAGAAACAAAAAGAACTGCATCAGAACTTCAGGTCTGCAGAGTTCAGCCTGCGAACTGGCACAACTTTTCAGTGTGTTCAGGCTGCAGCCAAACAAGTTGGAGTAAGTTGAGCTGTATCTCACCTTTTATTCCCTGAGAGTCAGGCTGTTGCCAGTCCTCGGCTCCAACAAGGCAAGCGTGCTCCCTGGGATTCATTGCATCTCAAGATGGAGGGGAAGAGAAAAAAAAAAAAAAAAAACTCTCCAAACACAATCCCTCTGCTCTGAGTTTTGTTACTGCAAGCCTCACAAGCTCCAGCTCTGTCTCCCCTCTGCTGCCCGCTGGCCGTGCCACTGACCTGACAACACGGATAAACAACCTGTAGGAGTGAGAGAAACCAGGGGAGAGCTGAAACACACAGGTGCATGCAGACTGACACAGATCACAGGGAGCTCAAAGGAGGACTGTATGAAGCAGCTCCTTTCCAGTCATTCCCCTTGTGTGGGACTCCAACCTTACTCCACCCCTCCCTCCCTGTGCCTCCCCTTCCTCGCTCCCAAACAGCTCAAAGACGTAAAGGAGTCACAAACTCTTCCTCTCTTTCTTTAGAACAGCTCTAAATGCATCACTAGAGCTCTTCTTTTATGCTTCACAGAATAGCTTTATGCTGTGATCCGCAGCATTTCAGAAGATAATTCGATTAGATCAGATAAAAAACTAAAAAAGAAACTTTGCCAGTTTGATATGTTGTCAGTATGTTTAGCAAACACACAAATATAAGGAATTAAAATTAATAACCCTATAATCAGCATTAAATGCACAAATCTCCAGTAAACCTCTGATGGATTAATCTTTTGGTGATGTATTGAGTTATAAGAAAAAGAGACATCGATAATATTTAAAATATTAAAGCAGAAGCTGAGATCAACAGTCTATCTCCAAAATGTCCTTTTAAACAGATTCTAAAGACCCAATATTGCTTTCCATCCCTTTATTTAAGTTATAAAAATGACACAGAGACAAAAAAAAAATGTGAAACAAAACAAACAAAGAGACATTTAGTAACAAACGAAACATAAAAATTAGAAAGCAGAGGGAGGGAACAGCAGCACTGGCAGGCACTGGCCGATGCCGTGTCAAGAAAAAAAACTGTTAATATCAGCCAAAAAAAAATATCAGCCTATCACTAAGCAGAAGTTTTTCTGTGCTATTTTTAAAAAGGTGCTCCTTCATTTAGAATGGAAGCTCAATAAAATCTAAAAAGCGGCTCAATAATCACTATAATAATGTGTATAGGAGGCACCAGCAGGTGACTTCAGCCTGTTTAAAATGTGCAGATGTGTCGGTGAGTCCTCAACCTGATTATTGATCAGAATAATATTAATGGTTTACCGATCTATTGGGACCATTCCTTTCATTTAGGGCCGCTATTTAAAAATGAAACTGATCTTATCCAACTCTGATACAGTCTGATAATAACACCCCTTTAATGCTCTAAACTTTGATGTATATCTGAGAGCAGTTAATTAAGGAGAGGCTAGTGTTTTACTGGAAATGCATTATGTTTTTCAAGGTAAGATAGAAATTAGGGCTGCAACGAAAGATTATTTTGCTAATCCATCTGTCGATTATTTTTTCAATTAATCAATTAATACACAGAATGAGACAGATTCCTTAAAAAATATGTTTTATGAAATCAAACTAGATAAAACTTTTCAAACTTTTCCACTTGAGGCATTCTGGATTGACAAAATATTTTTTTTTTTTATCTGAAATTCAAAATGTTTATAAACTTTTTTTAATAAATATAACGTATAATTTAAAAACTTAATTGACAATTTTTTTATTATTATTATTAAACTAATTTATCCTTTCAGCCCTATTTGAAAAACCTGTAAACATTAAAATATAAAGCTGGAAAATTATTAAAAAATATATTTTCCTGAAAAAGTTAGTTTCTGAAAATCACTGAACTCAGATGGGTTTGTTCTGTTGTTTTTAAGCTCACCAAGGGGGAGTCAGAACAAATTAGCTTAAAGTATAAAGTTGTAAGGTTTAGGTTTATTTCCCATGAATAAATGAACTGATTTTTTGAATAAAATAATGAAATAAACTAAGCTATCCTTTTAGAATCCACTTCAGTCCAATCAGATCAACTCACTTGAAAACAAAACGATGTTCACATTCATATAAAAAACATTTTATATTAGGGTTGGGAAATTACTTTCATTTGGAATATAAACAAAATTCTAGAAAATTCAATTTTTTTTGTCTCACTCCAGACCTTCAGGTGGCAGTACTACACTTAAAAAGGGCCAAAACACAGAAGGAAGAGAGAGATGCAGATAGGGTGCAGATTTAAGCCCCACTCGAAAGAAAACTAAACAAGCTTTCAAGGTCCTGAAAACAAAGAAACCCTGAAGCAAAGTGCTTGGCGTCAGTGGAAAGTAAAATCTAAATAAAATCTAAAATTGCTTCAGAAAATCCAATTTTGAGCATTCAGCTCTATTTCAGAGAAAACAAAGATCTCTGATCACAAAATAAAAGTCATGTTAGGAGTGTTTGACAAACCTGAGCAACTGAAGCCAGTTAATGTGTTATTAGTGCATTCTGTCTTGCATAGGTTAAAAGAAAATGCCACCATAATGGTGCACCTAAAAAATGCAGTCTAAAGCCCCTGTCACTGCTGGACGTTTTAGCAAAAACACTGCCATACGTTGGATAAGTTGTGTGTACATTTTGTATAAGTTATGAGTACGCTGAAGCACTCCGGCACACATCGACATACGGCGAGTACGTCAAGAAGTTCTCGACGTATGCCAGCGTATGCTCATATGTGGGTCATAAGTTACAGGTTAGTTATCTGATCGTTGACAAACGTTAAGTGTAAGTTACTCATGGTGTCTAGCTTATCGAAAACCTACGAGTAACTTCTGTATAACTTATGCGTAACCAAACAAGAACTTATGTCCAACACATATCAAAGTATTTGACGTGTTCCGGTGAGACGGTGCAGCTTTAACTGATGCTTCGTAGTGCACATTGCAGTGAGTAATGAATAAGTTTGGCTGTCGTTGGACATAGGTTCTGGGCTTGTTATGAATACATTATGTATACGCCTAAAATTAAAAAAAATATATAGGAAGTTCAGCGTACGCCAGCGTTTTAAGAGATTTTGGGACGTCTGGCATACGCTGGTTAAATCGTCAAGGTGTGACAGGGCCCTAAAGTTTTATTGTAACGTCTGATCTCTGACTCCTCATCAAATACAGTAACCTTCACGTACATGCAAACTAAAAAGAAATAAACAGCTGCATGAATGAATGTGCCTGAAGGAGGCGCAAGGGTCACATTATGCCAGAGTCACCTTTCACACAGAGCCTGCTCTGTTATTATGGGTCAAAAACGCTCACAGTGCTGTTCATCTGCAATTTGGATTCTTTTTTTTCTTTTTTCTTTTTGTTAAATAGAGAACTTTTCTTTTTCCACTTGAGGCAGAAATAATTCACAGACTTAATTTCCAAGTATTTCTTTAGTGATATTATTACTGAGCAAATTTCTGAAGCTGATTAGAAAGCAAAGAAATGTCCTTAGAGAGAAATATTTTACATGCTGATAAGGTCGCTGTTGTTTTGACCACGATATTCCTTCCTTTCTAAGGACACCGGAAAAAAAAGTTCTGACCATTTTCTTGTTTTAATTCAACAATGAAAAGTATCAAAACTTTATTAGAACAGGAAGGCTCCTAAATGAAGGAGGTGGTGCTGAAGGCTTCATGATGGGATTACAAGACAACCGTCCTGAACCTTTATCTGATTTAAAGTGAGCTCAAAAAGAGGCGCTTTAAAAAACCAGCAGATCGTTTGGGCTTTTTTTTGCAAAACTAAAAATACGTGTTTCTAGTTTTGATTGATTATCATTTCTTTTTTAACCTTCCACACAGAGCACAGCACGTCAGACCTTCTGGATCCAGTATCTTCCCAGTTAAATGGTGCATGAGCAACATTCAAATGTTAATGCTTCTTTAAATAATGACCTTTCTTATAAGAAAAACAAAATAAATCTTTATAAATATGACCTGATGCAGGATTGATAACTGCTCTTCACTACTTGCAGATAAGGTATGACTCGGCAAAAACAACAATCCTGAAACAATCTTAAATTCCTTTAAATGTTATAAAATGAATTATGATTTTTAATTAAAGATGTTTCCTTTTAACAACTACTACAACTTACAACTGAAAGCTGACTTTTTAATTTTAACTTTATTATTTAACTAATTATGGTTGTTTTATCATTGTTCTGAACTTTCAGAAAGCATAAACACAAATTTAAGAAAATAATTAAGCTGATAAAAGATGATCAAAAAATTTTTGATTAAAATTTATTTAAAAAAAAATACATAAAATAAAGCACCATCACTTCAGATATGCTGGTTTATACCTGAGCTGGACATGGTTATTGTTGGTCCACAGCGCCATCTAGTGTTTACCTGGAGTTTCGCACATATGCGCTGTGCTGCTGTTTAAAACTTCTGCTGTCCCAATTTTGGTAAATACCAAAAATAGATAAAAATTGCACCTGAAAGCCCACTCATGTCGTAATATCTACTGGAAAGATTTTATGATACCCTACAGTAGTTGCCGAGATGAGGTCAACTATGACATTTCAACCTGGTGTACGGCAGAGAAATCATTCTGTATGGCGAATATGGTTAAGCATTCTCTCCTGTTGTGTTTGTAGTCTGCACAATGCTGTGGCATTCATTTTTTTTATATATATCACCATTTCAACTTGTGTTGTTCAAAATTACCATGATAGTTTGATTTTTATCAGATGCTCTCTAGCAGTCAGTTGATGCATTTGATGCTTCCTCCTCTTCCTGCAGCAGATGAACTAGGAAGTCTATTACTGTTTTGCCCAAACAGCAGATTAGGATAATCTTTGGATTCAATTAGGGCTGAAACAATTAATAGGATTAATTGTGATTAATTGATTATTGAAATAATCGTCAACTAATTTAGTAATTGATTAAACGTTAACTGGAGTATAGAAAATCTAAAACTTACCTTTAGCTGACAGAGCAATCCACTTAGAGAAGTAATTATATAAAAATAGTAAAGAAAATGTGTAAATATTTTGCATTTAAGAGAAAAAAACTTTTTCGCCTGTCAATCTGCTGTATCCAGAACTCCTCAAGTGAAAGTTTCATTTTCATCTGGTTTCATTTTGTAAAAACACTTCTTTAAGAAACATTTGGCTATCTGATTATTAATCGAGTAATCAAAAAAAATACATTGACAGATTAATCGATTAGCAAAATAACCGTTAGTTGCAGCCCTAAATCCATGACGTTTCTCTTATCTACCACAACAAAAGCACTTTAACAAAATGCACCAGTAATTTCCACTTTACAAGTGGAAAGGATCATCTTCACCAGCATTAGACACAGGGGGGAAAATGGCTGAAAATAAGAATCTGGCACATTTGATACCAGTGATTAAAAATATGTAAAAGCAAAATAAGTCAATACAGAGAAATACAGTACATCAGATGACAAACAAATGGATTTAAACATTTAAGCATAAAAAAAAAACTGTTTATCTGGATCATTCCCATGCACTCTGTATATAAAAATGCTCCATTAAATGTGATCTATTTTGTCAGTAAACTTTAGTGTGTTACATTCTTTAAAAGCCAAACATTTCGCCTAATCTTTTTCAACATGTGATTTTACCACAGTGAGGTTGACTGAACCTATTTTCATATTTGCACAGCTGTCTTCATGTCATGCTACAGTAACTATTGTCTGGTTGAGTTTTGGACTTTGATGGTAAATGCAAAACTTCAGTCTTCTTCACAAAGTTTGAATTTGGAACTGGATTGTTGTCTTTTCATATATATATATATATATACAGTATATATATACATATTTGTTTTTTATTTATTTATTTTTTTTGTAAAAAAATAGCCTCATCTGTTACAAATGACAATGTGGTTAATAGTGTATATTAAGCTGCCATTTAAAAAATAACAAAGATTAAAGAGAAAACATGATTACAAAGCATTGGCCTATCAACAGAACGATGATATTTACCAATATTTTTGATGAATGTTCCCATTATAGTTATATGGACTAATTTCAAAAAGATAAAAACTTGCTCATTCTGCTTTACAACAACCAACCGTTTCATTAACTGCATAATACCAATAATGTGGCTGTCTATTTGCAAATAATGAACAGTTTAGCAAAGCCTGATTTACGTTTAAAAACGCCTCAGAAAAGACTTTAAATAGAAAATCTTAAACTCTATTTTAATATAGATAATAAAACTAAAACAGGGCGGTTAGATTACAGATTGTTAGCATGACAGGTGTTATGATGGGAAAGTATTTAAATAGTAAATAAAACACACACAATGCTCTAATTATATCTAAAAACTGAATGTAGAGACTTCTGGTTATGGATTTTATGTTTTACTTTTCTTTTTATGACAACATCTAATGTTGCTGAAGGCGCGCGGAGTGTGACCTTCCACGGTTAACAAGCTAACCGTCGTTAGCCATCCAACCTAGAGTTACTTCAAATAATGTCTATTTAACCCAGAAGTTAACTTTTAGTTAATTAATCAGTCCCCGAACTGAAACACGTTCAGCTGTAATTATGCACCAAACTGAAAAAAGTCAAGTTAGAAGGAAACAATTTCTAGTTAGCGTATCTTACCTGTTAGCTTAGCATACCAGCTAGTGGAGCTCAAAGATGTCTTCCTGCTGCATTGGGTTTTTTTTTTTTTTTTTTTTCGCAAATGTAGTTTTACTCCATCAGATAATTATTGCCTGTGTTAAAGTAATAGCATTAAGTATAGTATATTTTCAGTAAAACCAACATTTATGAAAAATAAAATAGAATGGCATGCAACTTTATTTAAACACCTCAGACTTTTCTACAGTTTTAGAAAAGTGTATCACTTTTGAGATGGTTATTTAAATATACATTTTTACTTTCTTTTCTTTTTTACTTTTTTGTTTCTTTTAAAAAATACAGAAGTCTAAAAGGAGTGGCCTGCAACACCAACAGTAAAATCATACATTTTTATATACATTTTCTTTGAAATTACACAGCACTGTCCATCTAACATTCTGAGAAAATTCATCAAAAATAAGTTCTGCCATTGCAGTAAATTACACTTAGTGACTTTTCCAAATCATGATATATATTCTTAAAGGTAGAAGTCTCTGAATGTCTGTCTTACTGGACTTGCAGATTATTGCACTTATTTTATTAGAATTTTGTTAAAATAATATTAATAATCAGATATTCAGCCCTTGCTTTAATTAATATCAAAACATCAACTTTTTTGTTTTTTTTTACATTGGGATTTTCCTCCAGGCTTGCCCCCAATTTGGCTCCAACCAGCTTCTATCAACAGCTGAAAACACTCATTCCCACAGCAAAATGCTGCTGCTTCCATGCTACCTTCCCATATCCCTGTTACCTTCCACTAATAGCTCTTCTTCAGCTGAGAAGAGCCAAAAAGTGGCTTTGCTATGGCAGGATGCATTTAAATTTTTAGGATAATTATCATTGAAGATGTTGAAGAGTTTATTACACCCCGGTATGGGCTGCCTGTTGCACGCCAGAAATTATATTTTATTCTAATTAAGACAGTTCCTCTGATTTATAATCTTCATTTTGTACGTGGCAAAGATTTTGAAATTAGATGAGAGCTGTGTCTTCAGCTAAGAACGAAGTGTGATATTTTGATAAGGCTGGAGCCATGGATGTCTAATCATCTACTAAAGTGTATGATGTAAAATAAGATGATGTGGCAGACTGGAGATGTATAAAATGCCTTTTTATCTATTAAACGGGGCCACTTCCTGAGAGGTGAGCAGCTGCCTTCTGTACATCTAAGCAATTTCTCTGATCTGAGTAAGATTACAATTACTATCAAAATCTGTCGTCATGTATAGTGGTTATGTAATACATATAAGGGATGAAGTGTTATCTAAAGAGTTTATCCCAAGCAATCTCTTTTCAGGAAAAAGAACCAGAAAGATAGAGCATCAGGGTGTATACACAGAGCCTATTTTTAACAGTATAAAGACCAAAATGAGTCCAGAACTGTGTTTTATTTATTTGTAGAATATGAACAGATTTCAAATTATACAGCAAAAAATGGGCATAAGCAGTGATTATTTGAATAAAAATAAAAAGAAGTGCACCAAGTATTTGAAAAGCATCAACGAGCCGTACAGATTTTATGGGATGATCATGACAAATTAGCAGTAGCTTTAGTAGAGGCACCTGCATATCAGCAACCATACAGTTATTCCTGTGGATTAAAATAATAAGATTTTATTTGTAGCATCAACTCAGCTGTCTCTAGATAAATTATGTTGGCAGTGGCTTTACACCGTTACTCCTAAGTGTGACGGAGGAAGGAAATGATATGAAACTTACAGGACCAGAAGAGAAATAAAAGGAATTTTAAAAACTGACATTAACTAACCATAAAGATCTAAGAGAAGTGCTCCCCTGTCTGATTGTCGCTCCTTTTTCCAATGTGCTTCTTTACAACAAGGATGTCGCTACAACGTATGGAAAAATATCAGTGGAGCAAGTGTGTCTGGGCTAATGCATGTCACAGTGTGTGAAAAGGCAGCACAGCATGAAGTCTTCACCAACCACTTCCCCTCTAACAGAGGAGGGGGGCCGCAGAGCTTCGAATCAAAATCTTATTACATCGTTCAAGCATCGCCCAGTTTTCTTCACTACCACCTCCATATCCTCGATAACCAAGAGCCCACATTGAGAGTCAGCGAAATACCATCCAACCTGACGGCTGCTTTTACTTTCCTGAGCATCATGTCTAAATACGACAGCTGCAATTTATCTGCTTATTTTACTTTTCTTTGTTATTTTTTATTTTTTTTTTGCATAATGTCTTTCGTTGGAAGCCACGTTGTGTTTTTCTTTGTCCTTTCGGTAGTTTGGATGGAAGTCTACAAACGTAAAAAAAAAAAGGAAAGAAAATAAATAATCTTTCAGCAGTTCAGGCTGACAAAAGATAGGGAGCGGAACAGCACATCCTTCAGTCCTGCATTAGCATTTCCCTCCAGTTGAAACTGTGATTGGGTCCATGTGTCAGAGGCAAGATGGGTGGGTCGACCAGCTGCCACACGCCTGTCTCTCCCATTTCTTCACAAGCACAAAAACCCAAGTAAGGAATCTGCAAGCAGAAGAAGACAGATGTGCAAATTGTGAATGAGGAACTGGAAGGGAGGGATGGGAGAGAAGCATCTGAGATAAAGTAGAACTGACCTTTCGGACAACTTGGATAAAGTCCTTGGAGTTTTGGGGGCTGAGGCCCTGTAATTGGCGGGTGCAGGCCTCCAGGGAGGAAGCATGGGCCACAATAAGGACTGTGTTTCCTGTGTGAAAGAGGTGAGGAGGAGACACATTCCATAGATGCCGTTAGTGTTCTGCACCATATGGACACGCTGTTACTGCTATCCACACCCTTTGAGCTTTTTTACATGTTCTCCTCTTAAAACAACAAACCTCTATTGAATCTAGATACATTGAATAAATAGTGCATCAGTCTAAAATAAAAAAGTTTCTCAAAAATGATCTTAACAATAAAAAGTGGACATTAAAACTTTATTTAGCTCTGGACTTGATCAGTACATAATGATCTTAATTTGAGGCATTTGTCCCACTGCAAGAAAAACTATGGTAGGAAACTGAATTGTACAGAGGGAATCTGTAGAAGCATAATCCAAAATGAAATGAATCAGTTTGAAAGTGAATTTTACAAAATCTAAACTAAATTTAAAATTGTTAAACTGAATAAAAATCTATTTAAGGAATATTTACCCCTCTTTTTGCTGAGAAACTGTATTCTTGAGTGTCTTTTATTGCTGTCTACATGTACTAGGGATTATTTTAAAAATGTATGGATCATTTATTGAAATTGTACGGAGCCCCTCTGATGACATGGTCAAAAAAAATTTTTTATTGTGGCCACGAAGTAGTATTTCGTGGCCACGCAATAAGTTTAACGTGCGCACGAAATACTTATTAATAATATTAATATCATTCCTGGACAACCGGTCTCCGCCAAGTGACGTCAATTGTTTACCTCGGGCGCGGTACACGCCTTTTCCACCTAAAATGGCGTCTTAGCAACAAATGTCACGTGACTGGCGGAGACCGACTGGGTAAGCAAATCAAGCACGCCTTCTCTAAGGTCTAAGGCGCGCTCGATTTACTTACCCAGTTGTCCAGGAATGATATTAAGGTGCGCTCGATTTGCTTACCCAGTTGTCCAGGAATGATATTAAGGCGCGCTCGATTTGCTTACCCAGTTGTCCAGGAATGATATTAAGGCGCGCTCGATTTGCTTACCCAGTTGTCCAGGAATGATATTAAGGCGCGCTCGATTTGCTTACCCAGTTGTCCAGGAATGATATTAATATTATTAATAAGTATTTCGTGCGCACGTTAAACTTATTGCGTGGCCACGAAGTAGTATTTCGTGCGCACAAAATAATACTTCTTGGCCACAATAAAAAATTTTTTTTGACCATGTCATCAGAGGGGCTCCGTAAAATTGTGTCTAAAACTGCCAGTTTGGTGCCCTCCTCAGTTTAAAAAGGGTTACTGCATATGATTTTTGCCATTGGCTGAGGCCAAGATGTGGTTATTAGCAGCTGCGGTTCACCTAGGGACTGACAATAAATTGAATGATTTTATTAAAAAGGAAAATAAAAAGTAAATCAAGGTTTTCTCCATTTTAAAGGTTAATAAAAAAAAATAACTCTATTAAAAACTGGATAACAAGTCTGAATTATTTGTCCAGTCTGATTTAACATTAGCTGTGTGTCAGTTAGTCACATGACCAAAAAAAACTTTTAGAGAAAAATATTAATTTTGAAACTAAAAAGTTATATACTACAACAAAAAAAATTAAAAACGCATCAAAACTGAGTAACAAGCGTGTTTGCGAAATGCAGCCGCATAGTTTCACCATGCACAATGTCAATCAGTGATCGATTACTCTGGTCTTCTCAAGGAAACAGATGTGTGGCAAGAAACAAATCTGAATTTTAGAATTGAAATTGAATTTTACAAATAAAAGTGAAATTATTTAAACTGAAATAAAGCTTAAGTGAAAATTCAATCTAAAAGAGTGTTATCAGCTTCACCTGAACCACCTGCAATGTCCCTCATTCATCTCCAGCCAATCAACTACGGGCCACACCTTCTCCTCATTTACTAAGAGCCGCATCATTTAGCTCCTGCTTCAGCTTCTCTTTCCTGCATGCAAGCGAACTTTCACCCACCTCCCCTCCATCTTCTCCCTCATTCTCAGTCCCACTCGCCCTCTGGCTTTTTCCTCCACCAGTGTAAGTGTATGTTGATTCACAGCATCAAAGCCTTCTGCCGGGGCCTGTGTGCCAAAGAACTTATTTATCTCGTTATCTGCTTCTATCTCCTTTAACCCCAGTCGGCCTCAGCAGATGGTTGCTCACACAGAACCTGGTTCTTCTGGAAGTTTCTTCCTATTAAAAGGGAATTTTTCCTCTCCAATGTTCCTACATGCCTGCTCAGTGCGAGGGAGTCAATGAGTCCTCAAAATCGGCTAGTTTTCCTTAGATAGAATCATTTTGAATATGATTGGATTACCTCTAATAAATAAATTGAATATTTTTCTAACTGCAGCTTTTTTCTGTGCGAGTCTCTCCAGGTTGAAATTCACTTTCAAACCAATACATTTTAAATTGTGACTCATTCTGGGCAATTCAAATTTAGTTCCTAATGGCACTAATTTCTGCCCATAATGAACCTCTGTGTTATTTGCAGCATTTAACAGGTTTTCCTTATGATTGCCCTGCTTTTAAATCCACCCATCTTTCCATTACTCTGCCCTGCATCCATGCTGCCACCCCTTAGTTATCATGCATTGAAGGTGAAGACCAGTGTAAGTATTATAGTATATAAAATACTTGGTTTTGGTCTACAGTATAAAATCCCTACAAAAAAAAAAATTAAACATTTTAAGAAGCTTACCAAGACTTTTGCACTCTGCCAGGATCTCTCGGGTCACTTGGAAGCTCCTGCTGATGTACGTATCGTAGGACTCCGACACTGTCAGTTTGCTTACAGGAATATGAGGTCTGCAAATAAAAAAAAAAAAAACAATCAAGGTCAAAGAAGATTTAACTAAACCAAACAGCTCCAACATCTGTGCCGCTTTGCACCTGTACGTTGTGTCAACACTCAGGTTAGCGGCACCCAGATCAACAGGTGGGATCCAGGCAGGGAGGCAAGTTCCCGGAACCCATTTGGTCCATTCAAACAAACCGGGCTCCACGCGGATTTTCGTCTTCGCCTCCTGCTGCAGACCTGAAATGGATCAGACCAGAAGGGGCGGATGTAAGGCAGAGAGGTTTGCTTTGCTTTTAAACCCATTTTGACACCCTTCCTAAAATAAAAGGGGCATTCAATAAGTAATGCCCCTGATCCACTTCCGGTTGTTTGATCTAGCTGAAATTTTCCATGTGCAATGACTTACATCTCTATAGATTAAGTGGAAAATTACTGCTATAAACTAATTGTGGTTTCATATTTACAGATATTTGAAGTTTGTAAAGTCTGAAATGAAGCCTGTTGAGTGTAAAACATTTTACAAGGTCATATGATGGGGCATAAAATCAAAAGTCTCCCATGGTGTGCATCCTTTCAAATAAAAAAAAACGAATCACTGCTCGACACTCAACAGGCTCCATTTCAGACTTACCTCAGTTCAAAAACCTGTAAATCAGAAACCACAGTTAGTCCAGAGCAGTAATCTGACATTTAATCTATAGAGATATAAATAAATGTGCGTGCAAACTTTCAGCTAGATCAAACACCTGGAAGTGGGTCAGAGGCATTAATTATTGAATGTCCCTTGTAAGAGCCTGAAGAATAAAGGTTTTAGACCAAATACTGAAACTCTCACATGAGTCTCACTTAATCCAAGAGAGCATGTAGCCCCTATGTGACGCTAGTCTGAGGTCGGTTCACTGACAAGGTGAACCAGGACGAGCTCCTACCTAGGAGGATGTTCTGGGCCGTCTGGATGCAGCGAAGAGAAGGAGAGCAGTAAACAAAGTCTATCGCTGTGTTGCTTTCTAACAAAGCTTCACCTAAAAAGAGCCAAAGCCATTCATTAGAAAACAAACTCAACACAAAAGAACCTTGAATGTGTGAAAAACTGGTGATTAAAACACACAGACCGACTAGACGGGCCTGGGTGGAGCCAAACACAGTAATCGGACAATCTTTTTCATAGTCTCTATGGCCTCCGCTCCTGGTGGGCAGGCTGCACGGCATGTTGAGATTGGAACGGATGTATCCGCCTGCGCAGCACAAAGTAAAGTCTTAGAGGAGAAGAAAAACCCAGCGTTTGAACAATCATCTATCAAGTCTCCACCTTTGGAATCGAAGCACTGGGTGACCCAGTGTTTGCCGAACACCACGTCCATCCTCTCCCCATGCCGACACACAAACAGCCTCATCTTGGACGAGGAGGAATGAGCCGCCGGCCTCGACACCTGAGGAGGAAACGGCACCTTCAGGACGTTTTTTTCCTCACACTTTTATTTGCTGTGTTTACATTTTGTTCACATGACAAACTGTAATGTACTTCTATGAGGTTTTTGTGACAGACTGAGAATAATTCTAACATGAAGGACAAAATGTTTAATAAAACACAAAAATCAGCCCACTTTACTTCAATCACCTCTATATAAAATGTTTCATCGTTCCATTCTGATTCTGATCACATTTTCAACTTCTTGCAAAATTTTATCTATTTTTATTGTTTTGTTTTTTATGAAGTTTCAGATTAATTAATGTTAATCATTGTGTTTGATTGGTATATAATATTGCATCATCCTGATCCCAGATTTTCAGATATCGTTGGTTTCTTACCCTGACTGACTTGGAGATCTTAGGAAAAGTGGTATTGTCATAAATGCAATGACAATGTGGTACTGTTTATGACATTAATAATGCTTTTCAAGAAATTTAAGGAGTTCCTAATTTGAATTTTGAGTTTTTCATATTAAAACGTGTGTCTTGCTGTTGGGCTTAACCTGACAGACAGTCCGGAGTGTGAAAGTAGCCTGGTCTTTTTGTTTTTGTTTAAACCGGAAAAGCCCAGAAGCACGATCTTGGTCCTCCCCGACTGATGCCAACCCTGTGGTTGCTAACATTAGCCTGCCTTGATATCACCATTATCGTATCTATTCTACCAATCAGAGACTCACCTGCAAGCAGTAGGTAAATGTTGCTGCTTGCTTATTGTGTAAGAGCCCGGAAAGGATGGTAAACAAAACATGGCTAACTGCTAATGCTGCTAATGCAACATTCAAATGAACAGGCTTAGTCAGATTCACAGCAGATTATGCTCTGCACAGCTGAATTTATCTCCACCAACTCCTTACAGCGGCAGCATTAATATGTGCCCACCATTAAAGATGTTTTCTCTTTATTGTTATTTCTGATGGTCCAAATATATTCACATGAGCACAGAATATCTCTCCACTGTCTGTCTTTTTACCAACGCCTCCTTTGTGGCCACTGTAGATATTTTTGCACGTGAGTTTGCACCTCATTTGCAAAAGTACTAAAAAGGGACAGAAAAACTGTGTCACAGTTCTTGAAACCTTAAGTCTAAGTCAAGTCCTGAGTGAGGCAGTAGTCAAAATGCAAATCATTTTTAGAGTGAATGACCCATATACCGGCTGCCGCAGGTTCGAGTCCCGGTCCCGCTGACTTTTGCCGAATGCCTGTCCCCTTTCTTGTAGGGGGAGTGTCAGCCTAGTGGGCATAGAGCTTCAAATCCTGAAGTTCTGAGTTCGAGCCCCACCCCCACAGACTGCCACTCTGGCTCTCTGAGCAAAGACCCTTAACCCCACACTGCTCCCTGGGCGCCGCACAATGGCAGCCCACTGCTATCCAAGGGGATGGGTTAAATGCAGAGGGTTAATTTCGTTCCTCTGTACTTGTGACAGAATAATGACAAAAAAAGCTGGAAAAAAGAAAGAAAAACGCTTTCCTGTCTATATACTTTCAAAAATAACAAAATAAAGGCCACTAGAGCCTAAGAATAAATAAAAACAAAAAAGAAAAATCATTTTTAAGTCTTTAATGGCCTTTCATGAGAATTTTGCTGAATGTTTTGTATAGAAATCTGACTGTAATATCCACAGAATTATCCTTTTCTGAAACTGATAAATCAGATAAATCCAACAAAAAAATATTATGCATACTTTTAAGACTAATGCATCAGATTCTTTTTTTAAAGTACTTTCCTACAGTATTTAAAGCACTAAATAATTTTCGAGTCACAATCCCCCTACAGGACCTTTTAAAAATTGCACTGTTGTAAACACTGCCACTCTCTGTGAGCTTCTCAGCACCTCACAGCTACAGTGCTCAACTGGAAGAACAACATCAAGACCAAATGTCTGAAGAAGTGGCTAATATTTTAAATGATCTAATATAATCTAGCATACTGGATCTCCAGTAAACCATTTAGCTGCTCTCAGTAGGTGATTCCCCCTTTCCATGTTTTATAGTAGCTGTGAGTGACATCACTGTATGTTCCCAAATGTTTCCTCATATCTGATAAACTAGCTCACTGTGTGATACTATCTGCAAACATTCAGTCAGTTACATTTGTATTTTGTATTTCGAAACTATAGTAAAAAAAAAATTAATTAACAAGATTTGGTAAATTAGATTTTGAAGCCATATTGCCCAGCCTTAGTCACATGGCGATGATCCTCCAAAGTACTTAGTGGATTTTATCCTTATTTCTCTTTTAATGTTATTGCCACCAATGAATGGAAATGAGATGGTGGATCCACAGAGACATTTTTTTCTTCATAAATAAAGGATTAAATAAAAACATGCTGTGGCCTATGAAGAAANGATTAAATAAAAACATGCTGTGGCCTATGAAGAAAGTCGATTCAATGCGCCTAATCTAAAGTTTGGCGAAAGAAAAAAAATCTGTTTGATGGAGAAATGTGGCAAAAAAACTAGCATCCACAATTACACTGATTGTGTTGGTCTGTTACATAAAGTCCTAATAAAATTTGCTCTGTGGTTTTAATGAGTAATATCAAGGAAGAAGTTAAAGGAGGGTTTATCCTCTCAGGCAGACTTTCCCTCCTTTAGCTCCTCACTGAAGTTGGCAGCTCTGTTCCTAAAGCAGGCAGCGAGGAGATAAAGACAGCTTTATTCAACACAAACCTGTAAAGGAGGACAGAGTCCAGCGAAACTGGAGGAATCCATAAGAGTGTCGAGCAGACTGTCATTCAGCTGTCCGTCAAATAAAAGCCCCCCCACAGGCCGGCCAGAGGTAGATGGAGAGGCACAGTTGAGGAAGGAGTGAGAGCTGCCAATCAGACACATAAAGTCACTCGGCTGGTTTACAGCGGGGATTAACCAAGTTTTTTTTCATCCTTACCCATGAACGACCCATGTGTCAGACTCGTCGGCATGGCTGATGTAGTTCTCAGGCAGCAGGCCAGACAGCCCCGTGCCCAGCGAGGTCCCAAACACCCAGCCCTCACTGGCAGTGCTCTGCTCCACTGGAGACATGAAGATGAAGTCCCCTTGCAGCAGCTCCAGCTCGTCGTCGTTCTGAGGCACGTACGGGTACATGACCTGAAGCGTCTGCAGGAGGAGAAGGAAGGTCACTGCTGGTGCTAGGCTGCTTCAGAGAAGCAGAAGAATCATGCGCCATTATTGTTGAAAGCAGAGAACGCGTGTTTTAAATGGAAATTTAAACTTTGAAATGAAACTTTGATTAAAAAAAAGCTTTTGAGAGTAACTTTACTGTTTTCTTAGATTTTGTTTTTCAAATATAATTCGTTAATGTATTTTTCATTCATTTAATTCTTTTAAATGAACATTTTTCAGATTAATTCTTTTCAAAAAAATATTTACAGATTACTTGTATTAAGATATGGCTTTTCAAAAAGAATTTTCAAGGATTTCTTATAGATTTTATACTTTCACTGCCCCCCCCCCCCCCCCCCCCCCCCCCCCCTCCCCCCTTTTAAACTGAGTTATAATAATTGAATTATTTTCCTGATTACATTCTCTTCAGTTCGGGGGCGGGCCTTTCTCTGGAGTGAGGAGCATTTCTATTGGTCTGCTGGACGTTAGCAACAATATTGTGTTTGTGCTGATGAAGATTCTCAGTCATCCAGGTCATAGTCATTCCGTAAAAGTTTAAAAAACAATCCACTGGACTTAGTTTCCCCCTCTGTGACTTTGGAAAAAAATATGGTGTTTGCATTGGGCTTGAAGTGAAAATATTTAATGCATAAAACTCTATCTGATAACAGAAATTTTATGAAAAATAAATTAAAACATAAAGTAACTTTTGAGGGGAAAAAATGTATAAACCGATACATTTAAAAATATAATATGATGAAATTAAAAAGCCATTTTTGGTTAAAACATTTTTCAAAGTTTCATTTTTTCCAACTTTTATTTCAAAAAGGTGTTTTTCACTTGCAGCAATAATGAACATATTTCACTCCAAAGGGCTGCTGGTTTAGTGGGAGGGGCTTCCTACCTCGTGGTTAGCAAAGCGAATATCCCTGGAAAGGAGCACGGCCAGCCAATCACAGCCTGCCGCCACGTCTATGCCTTTGGACAATTTCTCCAGAACTGGAAGGTGGCTGCTATGAAAGTGGTATGCCATGGTGACATGAAGCTGCTTCTTATGCGGCTCAACGTGGGCATCTATTATAAAAACAAGCAGCACATGTGCTCAGTGGGGGGTCAACAGACACAGCGACGCTTTATTCCAAACTGAAGGAACAAACCTGCTTTAGCTGCTGCCTCTGTTGCAAAGTCTGCAGCAAAACTCTTCAGAACCTCGGCCATCTGCTCCTCCACGAAAAGGCCGATGAAGCTTGAGGAGACGTAGAGCTCCAGGGGCAGCGGCATAGGGATGCGACCCTTCCACTTGGCCACAGTGGTCTGGAGGGCGTCAGTCAGAGCCTCCACCTTCTCATCAGCACACTGAGGAGAGCAGATGACAAGCGATGATTACGGAGAAAGAAAACAGCCAGCAATGCTTTAAGCTTTAATGTTTTAAGGGCACAAAGTTCATATGTTTTACTGGAATGTGGTGTCAGTCGCTGTGAGTATTAATCTGAACAGGAAGGACAACTTTTTACAGGCTTATCTGCAACATAAAGTTGTGAAAGTATGGATTTTGTTTGGTCTTTCCAGAGACAAACTATGCTGAAATGACTTAGAGACAGAATGGAGATACTAATTTAATCCAAGGTTTGAACTTTGACTAGGACATTCTAACAATCTAAACTGAAGCAGTGCTGCTAGTCCTGGTTCTCTTGCTGAGGAGCTAAATCAGGTGTGTTGAAAAGAGACACATAAAACATATTCTAGCTTTCATTCACTGGCTTCCTGTCAAATCCGGAAAGAATAAATTAAAAATATATAAATTCTTGGACTTTGGGTTCTTCAGATAAATCTATCGCTGTTGTTCTGATTATAACAAACCTAAAATGTTCTCAGGGGGCCCTTTTCTCCAAAAACCAAACATTGTAATATAGAATTTTAAGTTTATTATAGTTTTTATTTAATCTAGATTATCTAAAAAAAGATCATATTTACAATAAACATGGCCAAGATTTGTATTGGAAGATTTCTAAAACATTTAAGTCTATCATCTGTTGAGCATTTATGCCCTACAGATTATGAAAGTAGATCAGGTGGGTCCAAAGGGCAGCTCAGGGGACATTTTTGGCTCTTTAAGCGATTTTAGGTGGCGCTTATTAGAAATAAAAAATGGCCTGATTTAGGTTTGCCAGTTCAGGAGGTTGATGAAGATACAAGTCTGAATTAATACGGTAGGAAACAAGATAAAAACAAAGATAGAGAGAAATAAAAAATAAATATAAATGTAAGGTGCAACACCTCATTGGGAAATTTATTCAGTCGTCTTTAGCTTTTATTTAAGTTTTATATCTATTTAGTTTTATTTTGTTATTTTATTTAGTTTTAGTTTTATTTAATTGCAAAAAGATGGAATTTGGCAGCGGGTGTAACGCCAAACTAATCCCGGTGGAAACACGTCTATTCAAATGTAAGTTCTGCTTGTTTGCTGATCTTCATCACACTTAAAGAAAAAGAAAGAATTAAAAATGACGTAATAAATTCCTAAATGGAAGGTTCCCTTTGAAATATTTTTATGCCACTAGTTAGATTTATTTTTAAGAAAATTGCTAATGTTTGATGTTACGTTAGCCTGCCCCAAAGGTCTACAGCCACTCACATGCAGCATCACTGTGTTGCCATAGGAACCACTGCTTTTCCATTCGCATTTATACCCCCCGTGTACAATCCAGGCGCCTTCCACAGCTGTGAGTGTGACTTTAAGGGTTAAGTTAAGGGTTAGTGGTTAGGGAGCGGTTTGGGATTAGGCCCATGAATGGATCCAGAATCCACTGTTTAATGGAGACAATAATATAGAATGAACTTAATATGGTTCTGTTTGTAAATATTAACTCTAGATAAACTCGTTCAGATGGAGAATGCTTTTGTGAGTTAATGGACTTCATGGAGCCAAGTTTTAACATTCCTCTGAGAGCAACAGGAGCCAGAAGCTGCTGTTTAATAGCGCTGCTAAGAGCATTAAGTCTCTCCCAGCACTGGTTGTTGGAAAACATTAAAACAGATGACTGCATTACGACTGCATCTTTAGTAAAAAAGAAATGTTTAGCAATTAATCTTAAGGAAAGATTGTCTAATACAAGATGGCTGCTTTTCAAGGTTTTAACCTAAACCTGATTCAGCAAAGCTTAGCCACGTAACCTCTAGCTGTGAAAGAAAAACTCCACTCCAAGAAGCAGGACTCCAACACTTATATTTATTTGGAACCAATCCAGATGTTCTCTGGATTTTTAAAACCCTAGTGATGACAAAGGTCACCATACACACAAACCTTCAAATCAAAATGTTAAAAAGAGGATCTGGTTGTTATGAAGAGCTTAAGTTTCTAATGAAGCAACATTTTATGGTAAACCACCAGTCTAACTATCACCTGCTAACGTTGGTGATAGTTAGACTGGTGGTTCTGAAAAATTATCTTTTTTCTACAGTTTGCAGGACGGATCTACCATAGATAGATCATAGAGGAGTTTTAAGGAGTATTCCACCTCCAGTTTGAATGTGTTTTTGTCATTACAACAGCAAGAAAATCTGTCTATTTCACCACAACTCATTTCTACGGAACAAAAATGTGTGTTCAAGCAAATGAAGACACAGATAAATTGTTTCAATAATGAGGAACTTGAGTTCTGAGGCTAAACTGAGGTTTTGAAAACCAAAACATAAAAAAAATGAGGGTAAGAGTCTATCACTTGCGTAATAGTGCACTGCTCGCATGTTTTCAGCAGATAAGAAATCTATGCAGCGCACAGAATAAAATCCAGCACTGTTAATGAAGTGTAAATGGATTGGACTAATAACATTATTTCTCTTTCATTTGAAATTTGTGTTTAATTCATTTTATGACTTAAAAGTAACAACGAAAATAGGAGAAACAAATGTGTCCAACGTACACGGAACAAACTGTCATCCCCCCTAATTCTGTAATATAATATTGAGAAACAGAGCACAGATTTTGCTTTCCATAACACATTAAATATAATAATAATTATACTAATGAACAGGGAATACATTCATGTTTATGAGAACTTATAGCATCTCATCCTGCTGGATGCCCCAGCTGGCTTTAATGAATAAACAAAATGTAGCTGCTCAGGGTATGACCAGGCTACTCTGCAATACCAGTTTCATATATCACCATCAAATAAAATATTTACTAGTGTTGCACCAATGCCATTTTTTGGCTGTGCAGTATCGGCCGATATCGATACCATCTGTTTGAAAGTGATGTGTGTGTTTATACATGAAGAACTGCATAAAATAATTGCCATCATGGCTTTGTCAAGTTGCTGCCTACCTTTGTGAAGCAGGAAAAAGACTAATACAAAGTGAATCCAGTAGAACTTTTTAAGTGCTTACCTGGAATGACTGACAATAGTTGAATAAACTTTTGGCTCTCAAAATGGTATCAATGCCCTATTTGTTGGTATTCACTGATACCGATACTTTGGTATCGGTATCAGAACTCCTCAGAACAGGACTCAGCTGTTCGCCTACATCTGAAGTCTAAAGGACTCTCGTTTGAGGACAACGACGTCCATATTCTGGCCAAAGAAGAAAGATGGTTTGAGAGAGGGCTTAAGGAAGCCATTTTTGTTAACTTGAAAAAACCATCTCAGCAGAGGAGATGGTCTTTAGATAAAACCTTTCACATAATTAATAAAGCTCTTTTAGGAACAATACCCAGAAGATTTACCTCCCACCTGCCCTCACCTGACTCACACTTCAATGAGGCATGCGACTGAAAAATTAACATTTCAGAAGGAGAAATCAGAGCCACCTTTTTTCGCCCTAATTCTTTATTCTACCTAGAGCATAGTAACCTCAGCGCTCCCCACCACTAGAAAAAACTGAGGAAGCTTCTTAGATGAGAGACGAAACATCTTCTTCTTAACGTCCGGTTGCCTAAACTGAACTTTTCAAGCCTCATCTCATCAGTTTGCAACAGCCCTGCTATCCAATACGCACAGCGCTAAAGACGCACCTGATCACAGCACAGTGAGATGCTCCGTGTGCCTTTTTCAGGGTTTATACATGAATGAGTAACTCTTATTTAATGTTCTTTAATCCTCTTTTAATGCTCTTAAAAAAAATTGTAATGCCGTCAACAAGTACCCATGACTCTCATATGTATATATATATATACACGGCAAAATCCTTCGTCATCCTCACCTGCAGCCATGTCCCGAGTTCTTCGTTTTTCTGCCACTTTGGTTCAAATTTAATTTTTTCCCATTCTCTAGCCTTTTTTTCCCCTCAAGCTTCTTTTCTAAAGCATTTTAATGCCACAATTATCAAATTTAATTAACTTTAATGCCAATTAAGGCCTTAATTAAAAAAATAATGATTTAATGACTTTTAATGATTTTTAATGACCCGCGGAAACCCTGTTTTTATTTTTTATTTTTAACTCAACTACATAAGGAGGCAAAAACAGGAACAGGGTCAATCTGCACATTCTCAGATATGGTAACTGAAACTAAAGCATCGAGATGTGAGGAGCTAAAGGAAATCTCACAGCTTCTGGATATTTGTGCTACATTTATAGCATTGTGAAAGATTTAGTTTAATGAATCAAATCAAAACAGCATCCAGAAAGCTCTTGAAGTGGGATATATTAACTGTAGGAGAAGTGAAAAGAACACGTGAAAAATAGATCAAATCTAAGTCACATTATTAGGGACCACTGTGAGTAACATCAGACATATATATAAACTTGCACATCTGATGTTGCACACTATGGTCCTCTGTGTACTCAGGGGGCTGGTTTGAATGGCCAGTCACATGAAAAACTAGAGGGAGCATTGGTGGCAGTTAATATGTAAAGGTAGGAAAGGTGAATTTACCATGAAGAACTGGCAGAGGGTGATGTGAGGGAAGATGTTGTGGGCCTTGTTCTTCCCGCAGGAGAGGCGGGACTGCTTCCAAAAGTGGGAGAGCTGCTGCAGCAGAGGTCCGCTGGGTCGCAGGTACAACACATACTCTCTGGGCAGGGGGTCGTCCAGGAAGGGGTCATCAAGATGGGAGAAGAGCCTGGAAACAACCAGAAACAGTGACGTTAGTGACAAGAATTTCCTCCAGCAGATGGCAGTAACGAGATCCAAAGCATTACTTCAATGAAGGACTGCAAATGTTAACTCTAGAACATCTGTTCTCCTGTTCTGGGTGTGAGAGAATGAGGGGTGATGTGTGTGTGCGTGTTGTTCTCACCAGTCGCACGCTGCCTGCACGTTTTTTCCTCCTGTTGAAACCAGAGCTTTCAATCTGCAACGAGACAGAGAGAGGGGAGATCAAAGGACGGTCACAAAATCAATGCTCTCTCTTTCAGACCAGCTGCGTTCGGCAGAGCTCGCATCATATCGTTCATGACAGCTTCAATACTGGAACCAGAGGGCTAGTCGAAGCAGCTGATTCTGATTTCAATCAGCTTTGCTCTGTGTCGGGAAAGCGTTAATGGAATATCATTGTCAGGAAACTGCATCTGTTGGTTTGATTCATGCAGCTCGCTCTATGATTAAGTGATGACCACTTATCGGTTAGAGAATATCTAGGCCGAACCAACTCAATGTCCTGTTTAATAATCCATTTTTCCATGCAATCCATTCTCCAGCAGATGGGTTCAGGTTTTTTAATCCCTTTTTTCAAGTGCAAACTTCACCTTTACTTTACAATTTTCCTCAGAGCTTTAAGAAAAGAAGCTTTTTTTTCATGCTTGCATTCATTATCTTATTGAAACTGCAGAGATCATCTGTGCTCTGCAAAGAGTCTAAAACCAGGACATTCATACAGAGTTCCACTAGGGATCCTCTACACTCATTATTTAATCAGACTAGAGGGTTTTATTAGAACCGGATGAAGGAAAGGCTTAATAAAGTAAAGAAAAGAACTCGGTGTGCTTTAAGTCCCTCTTTAAGCATGAAAAAACAAATTTCTAATCTTATAACATAAAGAGCCGTATACAGTTCAGCTTTTTGACCCGTTCCATTCCTGCATCAGTGAGCTTTTATTGACTGACAACTCCTCTCCAGCCACGCCGACAGGAAAGGCCTATATAGTCGTCCTTTAAAAGGGCTACATCCTCTTCTCAAATGATGAACCATGAATCCAATTAACACGAACATGAGCTATTTTTATAAGCTGTCCTTCTGAGAGCTTTGCTCTCCCTGCAGTCGCTTTGATTCCACAGCTAAATCAGTTCATATGTTCTCAGTTCTGGTTGGGGGATGTTTTAGTGCTATGGAGAAGGAAACAGTAAAGAAGTATACCTTGCAAATGGCTTTTATTTGCAGCCCACTTAAATAACAAAAATAAAAAAATGAGTAGTGCATCACTGTGAATTTAAATAAACTGTACAGACAAACATCCGGATTCGTATGTATCACTGTTAAAGGCCACTCACGCTCACCAGCTCTCATTCCATACTGTTATCCAGGTGCGCCAATGCTAATGCTAACCTTTCAGATTAATTAATTTAATACAACTCATTTACATTTTAAATGTTGACACAAATAATTTAATCATTTTTAAATAAAAATAATTAATGGGTTGATCAGTTTTATATATTTTAACGACGAGGACATACACCTACAAGTTTACACTTTTTAAATGATGACCTTTCAGCTCATATTATTGTACAATTACATGCATTTGTGCAAAAAAAAAAAAAAAAAACAAGTTTTAAATCAATTGTTTTATTGGATTGTGTGTTTAAGTATACTTGCTAAAGTGCTGAAAAATTTGTATACTTGCTAAAGTGCTGAAAAATTTGTTAACGACTCCTTAAACATGATAATACATTTTCAATCTGTATTTATTTATTTATTTCAGTTATATTTGTTTATTTACTAATGCTTTTTCATTTATTTATTTCCTGATGAATTGATTTATCTAAGTATGAAATATTGCCTCCTTTAGCCTTCCACAGAATGTGTTCAAAGGTCCTTCCTATGTAATCTGACTGAGCTTAAACTGTTTTACACTGAGGCAGAAAGGTTAGACGTTCTTTTAATGTTATTATCAACTAATAAGTGTGAATACTTGTTAAAGTATATGTGAAACTAAACCTCCAGGTTGATTCTCCTCTGGAAGATGGATTTGCTAAATAGCTAAGATTAAAAATAAAGAACAAAAGGTGACAAAAATTCCACAGCGACAAACTTTTTACCCCCAGGTTTAAAGCCATGCACCCAAATAAGCAGCGACTTTGAGTTTTTGGTCACGGTGCCGATGCGTCCTGCACCGTCCGCCCAGCTGAACGGTGCAGGACGCCTCAACCTTCTCTGCTCTTCTATGATTCATGTTTAGATCGTTCGTTTTCTGGCCTCCCTTATTCAGATATGAAATAAACAAATAACCAACAGCAGTGATGGAGACCGCAGCTGAACTCTGGGCCATGCTGCTCCGTCTCCTTTCAGCCGCAGCGCTTTGTGCATTGTGTGAGAACAAGGCAACGGCCAATAAACGGCCCATTCATGGCATCAGCAAACAGAAACACAAACCGTTATATTACCACCATGTTTGTTCCTAAATGATAACCTCACTGTTCCAACGACATCATGAGCAGCTCTTAATACCAAACCAGTTGTTTCCCATACAAATGTACAACCTTTTGACTTTTTTATTAATGCAACCTCTCTGTGTGAGACGGCGCTGATGGTGCTTGTTGTGGCCCCGTTTTTGTTTAAACTCAAAGAGCTATTTTTATATTTGTCCCACAGAGAAGGTCCTAGATACGGAGGAGTCCCTGAACCCCGAGGCAGAGCGCTCCGACACGCCGCAGTAGGCCATGACCTGGTTGATGGGATTGTGGAATATTGCTCCCCTTCTACACCAATGAGAAGGAAACAAACCGAACCGCTCTGCTGCGTTCATGCACGACATTTCCTCCAACTGACCCAGTTCCTAAACCCTGGATCAGAGGAGAGGACTTAACATGAGGAGCCATTCGTAGGGAACAATCGCCTTATAAGAAGATTCCACCTGGTATTGTGAGGAGGAGGAGGAAACCCCCCCACACACATCCTCTCGTCTTTTTTATTTCAGAAGGGATTATGGGATTACAAGCAGATGTGACTGAGGCTTCATAAAATCCAATCTGAGCTGGAACATCCGATTGTATGCATCTTATCTTTGTTCAAATAAAACCTCATGACACGAAACATTACAAAGGATCTTCAGCATGTTTGCTGTGCAAATACAAGAACATCGTGCAGCACGGCTGGAATTTGATCGGATCGTTGTGGTTTTTTTAAAAGATACTAATAAGGTTAAAACCACACAGCTTCAGCCTGCTGTTGGCTTGTCAGTTTTAATGGTTTAATAATAAAATATCCTGTGTGGTACCATACTTTTAGTGACCGTTACAGGAGGATCAGACAAGTGAGATGTTTCTTCTACTATGCAAGAAGAGGATGCTGCGTAAAGCGCCAGGAGCTCACTGCTTGCAGACCATCAGTGTCAACATAAACTTTGATCTCTTGACAGCTGCTGAAAAAAGTGCATCAAGTAAAAAGATCAAAGTCGGAGAGCAACAGCGACGCCCGCCTGCCACTGCATCCTGTTGTGTCACGCAGATGTACACTCAGCCTCTCATCGATGTTTGAAGCCACACAGGACTTTAAATCTGCTGTTAACAGAATGCTCTGATTTTCCGAGGGTAATGATGCAATAATGAGCCTAAATATCATTTCAAGTTGTTGTTTTTTTGCCTTCATAAAGGTTTCAACAAAATGGAGCGTAAAGGATACATGTTGCTCAGTAGTGAAAATGCTGATATCTGAATGAATGTGAGCGAAACCCTCAGACGAACAGATCAACTTGTCTTACTTGATTTTTGCCATTAAATCTGTCTTATTTTGAAGTAAAACCTTATTTGTATGATTAGAAAGGTGCATCCAGGTAAGAATGGAAAGTAACCATTGTGATTGTGAGACATTAGTTACTGTGGATTCATTGGTACCAAGAAAAACAGAAGGGAAACTTCTGTTAAAGTGCTTTTTTCTTTCCTCTCTTTTTTTCTACAAATTTCTTTACAAACAAAGAACAAATTACAACAAACAATTTCCAATTTTAACCCCTTTTTTGAGTCTCCTTCATTTCACCTCTTCTGTATGCAGCCAAACCCTCTGGCCCAATATTTACGTTCCTATACATCAATTCTTGCCAAGGCAAAACATGCTGTGAGATCTTTTAAGTAACAAACGTCTTACCCAATCACAAACATGTATCCTACCAGGAAAAATAGCATCTACCTCTGCATTCAGAGCCCCTTTCCTTCCATAGGTCAGCACCAACATGTGGATGCTGCTAATCATTCATTTGGAATCATTGGAATCAAAAATTATTAAACATGCTAATCTTAATTTCATGGACAGATTAGGCCATCTCCATGTCTTGTGACAGTTTTAGACCATAAAGCAGACACCCTGTCTACTTTTAAGGCAAGGCTTAAAACTTTCCTCCCTGATGAAGCTTATAGTTAGAGGGGCTCAGGTTATCCTGAGCTATCTTTATAGCTATGCTGCTATAGGCTTAGACTGCTGGAGGATAAAAGGACTACTTTTCCTCTCTCTGATTTATTCCATCTCTATCCCATTTTGCAGTATTTGTTAGTTCACCTTTTAACTTTTTGTTCTTTCTGCTTTTTCTCCTCATAGAGGCTTCATCTGTTCTGTTTAGCTGTGACACCATCCTGGAGAGAAATATCAGCTAGGCTCCTATCACCAACACCTACGATTATAGAGAGTTGGACCTGTTTTTCAGAGTTTACTACTGTTTCCCTTCCAAACATTGCTATGGGCTCAACTTTTACTGTGACTAAACCGATGTGCTTTCTTTCATCCCTTTTGCATAAAAATTGGCTCAGCACTTGTATGATTAATCATTCCTTTCTTCTACAGAGCCACATATGGAGGTAGTTTACCGATATATTTTATAACAGAAAATATTTATGTATCACTGCTTCTTTGTTCCTTTTGTAAGCTGTTTCTCTCTCCTTGAACTGCAGTCAGACTCAGAACAAGGCAGCTCACACTGAGCCTGGTTCTGATTAAGGTTTCTTCCTGTTAAAAGGGAGTTTTTCCTCTCTACTGTCACTGCATGAATGCACAGTGTGAAGGATTGCCACAGAGTTAATGATACAAAGCTAGTGAATACTGTCGCCACATGCTCATCATGGATGGATGGATGGATGGATGGATGGATGGATGGATGGATGGATGGATGGATGGATGGATGGATGGATGGATGGATGTGTAAAGAATTTT